TATAAAACGATCTCTCGAGTTTTATAAAACGATCTTTGAGTTTTATAAAACGATCTTCGAGTTTTTATAAAACGATCTTCGAGTTTTATAAAACGGTATTAATCATTTTATAAAATGATTTTGCGGAAAATAATGGTTCCATCTTTTACAGAAGCTATCGCAGACGTTGATTTCGAGATTACGGTTTTCGACACCAACAATCTTGAACCTGGACGGTTTCAAGGGGTAAGAGAGCATCTTTGTAACCTTCTTTATTGCCTGTAATGAGCTGATCTCGTGCATAGAAGGATGGAGAAAGAGCTGTTGGAGCTTTATTGCAAAAAGGTCCAAATAAGGCAACTGTGACCAAGTGTAGATCCTCCTGATCCTATGGTTGCTGGTCCACTGTAAGCTGATGGGAACACGTCCTAGATGGATATAGTGGTCTTCTGGATGTCTTGGTTTAGGCCAATTGTCTTCTGGTCGAATTTGGTTGGCTTGGAAAAGATTAAACCGGATAATTGCTAAATCTTGCCATAAATAGCTCCGGTTTGGTTTAATAGTTTCTTAAAGGATCTGCCTGATCCAGTGAGGTATTTATTGTAGAGGGCCTCTAGGAGCTGAAAAAAGTCGCCTGGTTGCCAAAATTAAGTTTGGTTTGATGGCAAACCCGGATCTTCCAATTTAGGCAGGTGTGGAGCTGGTTTAGCCGGTTTGGTAGATTGGACCATAACTCCATAGTTCCGTGGAAATTTCTTCTCATTCTGGACTTGTTGGAAAGCTAAGAGATCCATCTTGAACTCTAGACTTTGGTTTGGGTCGGAACTCTTCTTGGTTGGGCTTGAGACATCTTCTAAACTCGGGTACTCGCAGATGGACGGGATGAGAAACCTATGAATTGTAAAATTCATAACTTCCGGATTCGTGAAGCTTTTCTTGAACTTCAAATTGGGCCTGACTACTCCTTGAGTTTATAATGTATGAAAATTGGTTTCATGACAAAATGCCTCCTGGTTAGTGAGATACGTCGTTTTGATTGAGCACATATCCTGGTTGGTCTTTTGGTGGGCAGATTGGTGCATCTTGTTGGCCTCTGGTTCAGGTACTGATTTGATGGCCACATCATACCCTCTCCCTTGAAAAAGTTTCAACCTCGAAACTGCATAACAATCACCAAGATGGAGCAAGTTAGGTTTCATCCTCTTTTGAGAGTTTAGAGCCTTACCTTGATACAATTTTGGTTTGGTCTTTGTTGGAAGATCTGGTGGTTCTCCTTTGAGTAGGAATGACAGAATTACTCCTTTACATGGATCTGGACTTCTGGAGTTGGTTTTAAGATCTGATGGTGCGTCTGGGGTCAAGAAGTTGTTGGTGATAACTTCTTGCTTTCTTTTTGCATATAAACACCTTATGACCTTCTTGTGTGGATATCCTATGGGATCCTTTGCCTTTGTTCCTGAAATGATCTCAACACTTTCGACAGAAAACAAGTAAATTATATCTGTGTTTGAAAACTTATAATCTGAACAAACAAAATTTAGACAAGTAAAATGTATGCTTACCCAAATGGTTTCAGCTAGTTGAAGAATGATTTGCTCTTTGGGAGCATGTGTTCTCTTGATGCTTCTTACATCTTCTTCAACATTTTGGGGACAGGACAGGTGCTGTTTCTGGCTCTCTTGAACCTTCTCAGCATTTTTTGGTCGTCCATCTCCTTGCTCAATACCTGGATCAAAACTCTTTGGCAAAGACAAGTGCATAAATCCAGCATTTGAAAGTTCTAAAGGAACAATAGTATCACTTGTTTCACTTGGCTCTGGTTTCAATTCTAGTGATGTACAGCCTAGTGTTTTTCTAGATGGACAACTTACAGCAAAGTGACCTCTCTTATGACATCTATAACATGTCTGAATTTTAATATTTTTAGAATTAGAGGACTTACTTTGATTTGATGATGCTGGTGGCTTTTGCAAACCTTGTACCATAGCTTCATCTTCTGCTTGGGGTTCTGTTTTCTCAAGAACAAATCCAGCCTTCTTTCTCCCTGGTGTTAAAGTTCCCTTTGGATAGGTGGATGTTTCTGGTACCTTTAACAACTGGAGTGAACTTAGCTGTGAACCCTCTTGCTTCTTGATAGTTTTCTTCTCTACAGCCGGTTTTATCTTTTGTGGGCTATGATGTGCTTGCTTGCTTCCAGCCTTGAAGCTTTGGGTTGATGTGGGGGTGTAGCCAGAGTGAACAACACTCTCAGGGGACTGATATTCCTGCTCTGAAATTTTCTTCACAAACCCTTTAAGCATCTCGGATTTAAAACTCTCCCAAGTATGTTCTGGTTCTTGGTAGTACCATACTGTATACTGCTCTTTGTTCCACCAGTATAGGGCAGGGCCAGTGAGTGTCTTGGTGGCATATGACAGCTTCTCCTCTTCTGGAACGTGGTGACTCTGGAACAAGGTCTCCATTTCGTCCTCCCACTCTAGGTACTCTTCATCTCTTTGGCCATAACCAGAAAAATTGATGGAGTGCTTTTTAAGCTCACTAATATTTCTTCCAGCCTCACTTTCAACTTCTTCCTCTTCAGCCAAGGTAAGTTGGATTTCTTGAACATTTCTTCCAGTCTCACTTAAGGCTTCCTCCTCTTCAGTCAAGCCATATTGGGATCTTTGGCCCTCAAAATCGTGGCCATACTCCCTTGCTTCATCCTCACTGATTGGAGAATCAATTTCTTCCCACCATGAGCCATTTTCGTGGTAAGAATTTAAGGGCAATGCTTGTCTTGCCTCAGGATCAGAGTAAGGCACTTCAGTCCATGGCCTTTCTTCTATGTCTTGATCAGGATCAGTATGGGTTAAAGCCTCCCATGAGTCCTCCTTGGCGTCATATTGAGACTGAGTGTCCTCATCAGCTTCATGATCCCAATCTTCTGGTTTTTCTAGACAGCTTTTAACTTCAGTCTCTTCTTGCCATGAACCACTTTCATAACCTTCTGATTCTGGTTCTTTTCTTGACCAGTCAGTAGAGATGTCTTCATCTTGGTATGGGTCTGGTGGTACTGGCTCAGGATCTTCTTCATAAGGATCCTCTTCAAAATCAGTGTTGGAACCATCATTTGACCATTGGTCATCTTCATAACTACTTTCCTCATCAAGCATGGACTGATCTTCCTGCCATGAATCTTCTTCTTCCATATGTACCTGAAAGGAATCCAAACAAGTAGTCAAAATATTTTTATGGGCACTGGTCAAATTTTACAAAAATGAAATATGCAATGATATGTAATAACTTGAACCGAAAAAAATTGCTAATGACTTCTTTTATGGTTTTTTTTTTTTTTAAGATAACAATGTATGCACGAAATATACTAAGACTATATTTATAGTATGAAAGAAATGACTAACAAGAATGATAAGAAACAAATGCAAGACAAATTTGTTTGTTTTTTTTTTGGTTAACTCTTGGAATGAAAAACCGAAAATATGCAAAGATGAAATGCAATACACTCTAAAATGATTTGAATATGATTCTTTTTTTTTTAAATGAAATAGATATATAGATATTCTATGCACGAAAACAATTCAGGATGCAAGGTAAACTAAAATGAATTATGATATGCAAGTAAGGAAACTAAATGAATGCAGATCCTCTTTTTGTTTTTTGAAATATTTTGATCCTAAAATATGCAAAAGTTGAATTATGGTAAGGGGAGCTGGGGTAATGAATGCAAACACAATATGCAAACACAATACCGATTTGGGGATCGCACGAGAATTCCTCAAATCCCTGAGGGAACAAATAGTACTCGTGCTCGGGCCGTCCGTATTCTTCCGAAGCTTATCCCGCTTTGGTAACCAGAAACTAGGAGGGGGAACATCGACGACATCCAAAGCTGACCAATTTTCCGAGAATTCTTCCTCGTTCATGGAAGAACGCCGGAAGATTGGCCTGGGAAGGGCGCAGCCGTCGAAAATGTCGAGATCACTTTGGTCAAAGATTTGTGGGAACCGAAATTCACCTACTGTCAATAAATCGTAAAAAAGGAAACTTCGGGAAAACCTAACTTTCCAGAGGAACCGGCTATCTGCAGAACCGCACAACGAAGATTAAGAAAACGATAAACTTAGAATTTAAAAGAGAATAAACGAAATTGAGAGCAAAGAGGTTCTTATTCCGAATCTGCGTAAGAACTGGTACAAAAAGAGTAGCCGAAAAGTCTTAAGCACGAAAAACCCTAGTTGAGACGCAGCTCGCTAACAGAAAACAGAAATATTCCTAAATGCTAATTTTGGTGGTGAGAGCTCTGAAAATAGTGTCCTAGCTTCTGCCCTATGCCTCCTCCTTATATACTCCTCCTTAGGCGGTTTTAATCTTTCCATTTCGCCCGAAATCGAATATATCGGGAATTTTCCATTTCTCTCGATCCTTCCTTTTCTTCCGCGGAAATCTTCTATTTATCTTCGAACTTTCCCTTTGTCTTCTATCTGCGAGTAAACCGTCAAAACATTATCGTATCTTCGGGTTTGATTTTGTTAATGTCGCGAGATGGGTTCTTATCGTGTTTTAGGACCTTTCGGGCCGTTTTACGATAAAAACCGTTTTACGACTTTACACGAGACCGTTTCCTAATCCGATACCATTTTTTAGGATTTTCTCGACGTTTTATATGATCTTAACGAAAAATCTTGGATAAATCGTAGAGTTTAGGCGATGTTCGGTGTCTTGCTTAACCGTCACCGTTTTATACGATTTCTTAGAGTTCTTTTCGAGAAAGCGGAGTTTTACGGTTTTTATCGTAGAATTCGACCAATAAGTCGGATCGAGACGAAACGAGAGACATTTCGGCCGTGGTTCAGAATTTGACCGTGTCGAAGGACATAAGGTTCGAATCAGGGCTGCGGGAGATCCGGGATATCTCTAGTTCGCCTGCTGGCGAACTAAGCCGAGCTGGCTTAGTTCGCCAGCAGGCGAACTAGCCGGGGAGTTCCTAGTTCGCCTGCTGGCGAACTAAGCCAGCTTGGCTTAGTTCGCCAGCAGGCAAACTAGTTGGAAGCTTCTAGTTCGCCTTCTGGCAAACTAAGCCAGCTTGGCTTAGTTCGCCAGCAGGCGAACTAGTCGTGACTAGTTCGTGTTTCGCGGCTTTTTCGGTTTTTCGCGGTTTTGTAAAACGATTTCTCGAGTTTTATAAAACGATCTTCGAGTTTTATAAAACGGCTTCTCGAGTTTTATAAAACGGCTTCTCGAGTTTTATAAAATGATCTTCGAGTTTTATAAAACGATCTTCGAGTTTTATAAAACGATCTTCGAGTTTATAAAACGGTTTCTCGAGTTTTATAAAACGATCCTCGAGTTTTATAAAACGATCCTCGAGTTTTATAAAACGGCTTCTCGAGTTTTATAAAACGATCTTCGAGTTTTATAAAACGATCTTCGAGTTTTATAAAACGATCTTCGAGTTTTAAAACGGTTTCTCGAGTTTTATAAAACGATCCTCGAGTTTTATAAAACGATCCTCGAGTTTTATAAAACGGCTTCTCGAGTTTTATAAAACGACCTTCGAGTTTTATAAAACGATCTTCAAGTTTTATAAAACAATCTTCGAGTTTTATAAAATGGCTTCTCGAGTTTTATAAAACGATCGTCGAGTTTTATAAAACGATCTTCGAGTTTTATTAAACGATCTTCGAGTTTTATAAAACAGCTTCTCGAGTTTTATAAAACGATCTTCGAGTTTTATAAAACGGCTTCTCGAGTTTTATAAAACGACTTCGAGTTTTATAAAACGACTTCTTGGGTTTTATAAAACTATTTCTTTTGTATTTTTGCGGGGAATTTTGGCTATTGATTCCGTCGTACCGATTCTGACCCCAACAGTTAGCGCCCCAGCTCGTAAGAATCGTGGGGTTCTTGCGAGTGGACTGAGATTGTTTGGCGAGTTTGGTAGAATTAGGCGGAACTTTAATGGCCAAAAGTCCAAGGGTGAATAGTAAAATTCTTCCTTATAAGTAGATGGAGTAAAATTTTGAATTCTTTACAGCTTATCCAAGAAACTTTTCTCTCTACTTCCTTTGAGTTTATTTCTCCCAGGATCTTCTAGCATGTTTTCAGGAAGAAGGACTCGTTCCTCAACTAGCTCCAATTCTCGCAATTCTGAGGGAACGAGCTCGCAGCCTCCAGTTTCAGCTCCGAAAGAGGAGTATTCGTCCCCGTTAATCGATCCGACGTACCGTGCGGCTTTTTGGGCGTTGGGAGATGATTCGAGGTCTGCTAGGCCTGGGACTTGGGTTCCAGCTTTGTCGGATGTCGATCAAACTTCCGGATATCCGAACTCGGCTCTTTTTAACAGTATCGATTACATGCGCGAATTTTGCCGAGTTCCAGAGGCTGTCGAGTTTCGTCTCCCACTTGCCGGGGAGGGCGACAAGGATGCGCCCGAGGGTTTTTTCACATGTTACAACATTTTCTTGCAACAATGCCACTTATGGTTTCCGATCCCAAAAATCATTGTTCATTACCTTCACAGGCTGGGGCTATCGATCAGTCAGCTGACTCCCCTTGGTTTAAAGCAACTCGTTGGTCTCTTGACGCCGAGTTATGAGCAGGGAATTACCCTTAACGTCGATCATCTCGAGAGTCTATTGAAGCCCACGGGGAAGTCGCAGAGGATCACTCTATTCCCTCGTGAAGAAATTGTTACGGGCTGCTCAACGCCCTCTACTTCTTGGAAGAAAAATTTCTTCTATGTTCGTATTGACAGTGCGTCAGTCGAGGAGGAATGCATTCCGCTTTTTACGACCGTGTGTGGTCAGAAGGTATGCGAATCGAGTTCATACAAATCTTCTTCCTCTTGTTTTTTTTTAATTTGTTTCTGTTTTTCCGCAGTGACCAACCCTTTGCCCCCGTATCCTGTGAATCTCCCGAACATCACCACTTCTCTTAAACGTGGTGAAGTTGGCTGGTGCAGTTTTTCTCCGCAACGCGTCCGCCAAGCGGTTGCCCTCTTCCGATCTCGACTCTTTTCGGATTCTCCGATTTATGAAGAGGATCCGTTTATCGGGGAGTTTATTCCGTATGTTCCCTCGATGAGGAGTGGTAAGTCAAGCTTTCGAAGGGATAAAATCCGGTTGTCGAAGATGACGATTCTGAACGTGCGGCCTCTCCTGACAATATTCTCAAGGACTTCCTTGACAGTCAAACGGAAGAAGGTGTCTGGATGAAAGCGGGCGGATCATCGACCTCCCATTTTCTGGATGTTGACCATGATCAAGTCCCGGAGTTTACTAGGGGGTCTGAGAAAGCTAAGGAGGTACGTGTGTTTATTATTTTCTTTTTCGAGCGATTTTATCATTGGATGATGTCGCTTAATTCTTTTCTTTGGTAGGGTTTCCTTGTCATGAGCCGGGCCCTACATAGCCGTACTGCTGAAGCTCGCCTTGCCGAGTTTCGAGCAAACATGGCTGAAAAAGAAGTTGCTCGTCTTCGGGCGGAGGTCGAGGCCAACCGAGCCGAAGAAGTGATTGCGAGGGAGGTTTCTCGCGTGAGGGACGAGTGTGCGGCTAGATCTCGCCGCGGCAAGGAGCATTCTGATCAAAGGATTCGTCGTGCTCTTCGTGCGGGCAAGCGAGAGGTTGCCGAAGAGATGAAGGCTCGTCGTGAGCGATTTGCAACCGGTTGCCGAAGATTTGTGGGAACCGAAATTCACCTACTGTCAATAAATCGTAAAAAATAAACTTCGGGAAAACCCTAAGTTTCCAGAGGAACCGGCTATATGCAGAACCGCACAACGAAGAATACGAAAACGATAAACTTAGAATTTAAAAGAGAATAAACGAAATTGAGAGCAAAGAGGTTCTTATTCCGAATCTGCGTAAGAACTGGTACAAAAAGAGTAGCCGAAAAGTCTTAAGAACGAAAAACCCTAGTTGAGACGCAGCTCGCTAACAGAAAACGGAAATATTCCTAAATTCTAATTTTGGTGGTGAGAGCTCTGAAAATCGTGTCCTAGCTTCTGCCCTAGCCTCCTCCTTATATACTCTTCCTTAGGCGGTTTTAATCTTTCCATTTCTCCCAAAACCGAATATATCGGGAATTTTCCATTTCTGTCGATCCTTCCTTTTCTTCCGCGGAAATCTTCTATTTATCTTCAAACTTGCCTTTTATCTTCTATCTGCGAGTAAACTGTCAAAACGTTACC